CTCATAATGCAGTTAATAATGTGGCTGCGCTCTCAGAAGTGTGAGGATTACGCCGCCGTGCGCCGCCGTCTACATCGAAATCTTATAACGTGCTCTCAGAGCGAGGCGGCCTAATGGAAGGTGGAGCTGATCTCACTGAAGGGAAACAAACATCAGGATTTGTGGCACTTATGTTCCTTCAGAATTATTCTGAAACTCAAGGGGGCTGTGACCTTTAACCTCGACTCCCACAGGGCCCATTAGACGCTTCCTGTATGGGTGGTGGGCTATCAAATAAATGAGCTACTGCCCTCTCCTGCTACTCCTCCTTTGTTCCTTCATCCATCCATATTTTCAGGAAGCTAGCTGGAACACGCTGGGCAAAAACAAACGGAAGCGCTGCGGTGTTTTCCCTTAAAGCAGGAAGCCGCTGCAAAGAACCGTTTCATGTCGTGTTATTTGTTTTCCCTGCGTGCCACACCGGTGATTAATTGGCTTCGAGATTGTTTTATTGGAATGTCATTGTGGCTGCTTTGGAACAAGCCAGCCTGCTCTTTGTTTTGATTTGAAAGCTCCACCACGGCGAGGAAGAAATGAACTTCCTGCCAAGCCAGCTGTCCGCGTCCAGGAATCTCTTCCATGGCGAGAAAGTTTCATGTGTTCCAGTCACTTCATAAGAAGGATGAGGTCATACTTCGTTCCCAGGATGGGCCTGAAGTTGGCGGTTGACGGGGAGCCCTGCTGGGGTCCTCGCTGGTCCTCTGAGGGCGGGCGGCTTCGTTGAGGTTCACCTCGAAACATTTGGTCTGAGCTCTGGAAACAGTGATTTATGCTCCTAATAGAGCACCTTTCTCCTGCTGCAGCACAAAACAGTCCATTAATGAGGTTTTTCAATATCCCATCAGCAGGTTTCTGCAGATAAATTTCTCTCGGGAGCAGAAATGAGCCGTTTATCAAACGAGATCCAGGTTAATTCGTCAGAGCACCTTTAGGGGATTTGCTCAACAGTACTTAGTCACAGCTGTAGCGCCGTACTCTGCTCATTGCTCCATCGCTGCCCTACAAAGACGGTTCATGCCTGCAGCGCCTGTTGTAGCTCATTTCCTGCGGGAGATTCTTGCTCTCCATAAACAGCATCTTTGCATCATCTGAATCAGGCTCTGACATCATCTCTGTCGCTTTACGGTGTGACGTCACCTGATGCACCGAGACGTGCAACAGTGACACAAACCAAATGTTGTATTTCTTTAACCTCCTGTAGTGACAAAGACCTTTTCTGTTTTTTCCCAGAGCTGCCATTTATCCTGGTTCAGCAGAAATGGCCTCCATGAGCAAAATGTTAGTTAGATGTTTACAGCGACTGCAGAGTGTTTATTAGAAATCCACCTTCCTGCTGCTGAAGCC